AGGTATAAAATATAAGATATATGATATTCAATCATACGAGTAAGTGATCAATAAATATAGTTTAAAAAAACTAAAAAACACGCTTTTAAAGCACATTGAACTAAAAAGTTCAAAATAATTTTTAAAATGAGCTTAAAACAATATTGAACGAAAAGTACTAGAATTATTGTGATAAAAGCGTGGGTGCTTCGTGCCATATTTTTCGTATATTGAGCGCCCGACGCTTTTATCACAATAATTCTAGTACTTTTCGTTCAATATTGTTTTAAGCTCATTTTAAAAATTATTTTGAACTTTTTAGTTCAATGTGCTTTAAAAGCGTGTTTTTTAGTTTTTTTAAACTATATTTATTGATCACTTACTCGTATGATTGAATATCATATATCTTATATTTTATACCTAAGCATTTATCTGTACTCACATAAGTGTATGTGACTTATCCTAGTAATTTATAAGTGTAAATGTGTTAAGAAACGCATATATTAAAATTAATTACTGTTCAAAATGTTATGACGATATTTTGCTGAATATTTGTATTGCGTTCATTGTGATTTAATTAACACACCCACTCTTTTGGAGTAAATTATAGACATTAATTTAATTTAAAAAAAAAATCAAATAATGTTTATTATAAGGTAATTAAATATTTATGCTTCATTTAAAAAAATAAAGTCGACATCCCTGTTAAACAAAAGGGATAAACGAAAAAATTATTTATTTTTATAATAGATAAATAGAAATGCATATGAAACTAACTAAATCCAAAAAAAAAAAGAATAAACAAAAAAGACATTATTATAAAAAAAATTGTCTAATTTCGTGCGCTGATTGATAAATTTAATTTTAATTTAGATATTTTTAAATAATTATTAGATTAATTAATCTAATAATTATTAAGTTTGTCAAGGTGGACAAGTTATAAGTTCAGGGAACTAGCACTAGGAAGTGAAACAAGAATATTGTCAATTTGTCATGTGCTATTCGCTCAGTTACAAACGTCGACGTAGATTCAGGAACTCCGTATATAATCAAATTAGGCTGACATTTTTCACGCGCAAATGTTTCTTGGATAACTTGTGACACTGCAGATTGTGATGTATCAACTGAGCTTGAATTTTCCAAACTTGTAACTTTACTTTTCAGTGCATCAATTTCTTTACTAAGCCTAGTATTTTCTTNCAGTGCATCAATTTCTTTACTAAGCTTAGTATTTTCCTTCTTCAATTCAGTCATTTGATCAGAAACCCGCAACGAGTCAGCATTGAAGTCTTTGTATTGCGAAGCCTGCAGTTCAGACATTGCCTTATTGCAAGATAATACTTCAACCTTTAAATCCTTTAACAGAACCATCAAATCTTCATTTGAGATCATATTGGTTTTATTACTCATGTCAGCTCGATTGGACGATCTATTAACTGACCTCCCAAAGGAGATAGTTAGAGAAGACCGAGTAGTAACTCTTGAAGTGTCTTTTTGAGGAGTATTTGGACTCATAATGATATTCAATATAATATACTCCTTAAAAGTATAAAAACGCAACCAAAATCACAACCGGTAATGCTGATACAGCGTACAATTGAAAAAAACAGGAGCGTTTAAGTCACCAAAAAAAAAAAAAATACAGCTGGTTGGTGATGTGTGTAAAACAAATAACCAANCAAAAAAAAAAAAAAAATACAGCTGGTTGGTGATGTGTGTAAAACAAATAACCAATGTGTGATAAGAAATTAAATTATAGTCGTTAACTCACCAACAAGTGAAACTTAATACGCTAATAACTGCCAAAGTTAATAATCGATATCAAAAGCATTAGGAGTTAACACTTACTATATAAAACTACAACAAAGAATGACTCAACGACTAATTGTTATGTTAAAAATAAAAGATTGTAGACTACACGCACAAATCATAACGTTATCAAATAATCAAAATACTATTCGAATGACGCTATAGGTCGTCCAAACACTGCTCGTGTGTGCATATCCACAAATAGTGAGGTAAACGACTTTTATATTCGCACACGACAAATGTATTACAACTATTTTACTATTTAAAAATTGGCGTTTTTAATAAAAATGCTGAATTAAGAACATACAATTAATAATCTTTTTTTAATTAATTTTAGTAGAGAGTGTGATCGTCCCGGCGTCCAAGCCACAAGCCGCCACTGCATTGAGATATTATTAATAATAATATTTTGTTATTTTATACCTCAAGATTTTCTAATGAAAACAATAGTGAGTGGAAATTTGTACAACACTTATCATAATTCTAGGTAATAATGGATTTATCTAATTTTAAAAATTCAACTAATTTTTGACTTATTTCATTTGGATCAATATCACTGGAAATTATATTGTCTCTTAATTTACATAAAAATGTATTGATTATATAAATTAATTATATATATAAATACTGATTGCCTTGAATTATAACTTTATAATATTGTTGAATTGTTATCATGGCGGAATCCATTTTTACTAAATTTACTAGAATCATTCACATATGTTACAAAACTAGACAGGTCATAATGTTGCAAATATGTTAAGCTTTTGTATTTGGAATTCATTAAGGCTTTGAAATTATTTTTAGGATTATTTGTAATTTTTTTCATTGTAAAAAATATAGTGCCTACATTAATTCTCTACTAAATTAAATGAATTTAAATGTATTTAACAATTAATTAAGATCTAAAGCTTCTAACAATGGATATCTACACTACCCTCGTCTGACTATAAAAACCCATTTTTTCCTATTTATATCAGTTGTTTTAGTAATTTTAAAATACACAAAATATGCGACACTTTGATCAGGGTTCTTATTCTTTGGCATTTAGTTTATTTTTTATTTAATTAGGACTTTTAATAATTCTTTTAATCTTAAACTAAACTTGGAATAAATTTAATATAAATTGTATTTTGGTGTATCTTTTATTTTAAATTTATTTGTTTATTAATAATAAATTGTTTATATTTCTTATCATGGAAATTATTGTCAATTATATCTTATACATCAAACATCTTGAAATTATTTTATTTTATAATAAACCCAACTCAAATTTAAATATTCATTTAATGCTAAATGTTTATTGTGAGCTAAATCTTACCATTACTTCAGATTAAAATTAATTTAATAATAATTTTATTGGATTAATTGTATTGCAACTCTATACTTACTGGATACATTTTTACTAAGAGTAAAAATCTATTGTGAACATTTCTTATTAAGTAGCTAAACATTGAGCTTAATGTCTTTGTTTTAACGAACATCGTACCGGCAGACAACACAAAGAAACTTACGAATATATTTTTAGTGTTTAATTTTTGTCTTGGTGATTAATGTGCCGCATCCTTTCAAGGAGCTTGCGCCGGGACACATTAGGCCACTACAATACCACCTTGATAAATCTTCTACATAGATATAAATATTTTTGAATCTTGTTTTGGCTAGGCCAGAGGAAGATTTAAAAACTACTGGTGTCAATCTCTCAAAAAAATATAATCCCCCAAAAGCATACATATTCAATAAAATCAAATAAGAGTACATTGTTGAATTATATATACATATAACAAAAATATAGACTGTAGAGAATCTTTTAAATATAAAAAACATTCATAGATTTTGTGTTACGATCTCGTATTATTTAAAATTAAATATATTTTCTAGACAGTCATATTGACTATACAATGCGTAGTGGACAGTGTTTGAAATATAGTGTGAATTCAAACTAAACATTGAATTGTTTAAAATATAGTTATGTTACATAAAATAAAAGGTAAGTACAAGTTAAACTTATGCTTTCAAATAATAAACAATATATTGCGTAATAACCATCAAGATAATTTATACAATTTTGTAAGGGATATTTATCATGATTTATTGAATATTGTTAAATCCCGTGATCAATCCACTATTTTGTCGTATTCGTTTGTGTTTGTTTTATTTATTTGACCATCACCCTAATGTATTTAACCACCATTAATCACATTTCTAAATCTCCATTTATTTATATCATTATACTCTTTACACCCTTACTTATTTTGCCATATTTAAACACATGTTATTCCATCATATATTATCTTATCTTATTTTGTATTATTTAATCATACATTTATTGCATTATCCTTATTATTCTAACTACGAATAAGTCCTTTAATTTTTTTTGGTATATTACAAGCACTGAGGCCTTCATATCAGAATTTACACCATATTACTTTATTTTATTCCTTTAACTGGCCATATAAATATTTCTTTAACGCACACTTTTTTTTACTTTTCTATTATATTTTTCTTTTTATTATTGATATATTACATTAGTATAAAAATAAAACACTCACGTTTCACCACTAGCTATTTACTTTAACTAAATGAACCAATCAAAACAAAGTTGTTAAAAAGATTTATTCAATTGATCGTATTATAAAATTTGATTATAATTGTAAAAATCCATCATTAAATTCAGGTGAAACTAATTTTAATTTAACCTTGGCTAATATATCAATAACAATTAAATTGTACAGATATTTTTATTATTAATACCTTAAATAAACAAATATTTATTTAAACTAAATCATAAAATAATTTTTTAAATCCTTAAAATTATATTATTTTATATAAACACAAAACTTAAAAAGATATTTTAAATAATATAATTATACAAATTTGTATTAGTTATACATTGTGTATTATTTGTACAATAATTATGTCAAGCAAGATTCCATACTGTTGTGCGTTCTTAAACTGTGAAGTATGTATTAATAATATATTAACATTAATTAATCCCAGGATAAATTAAATCATTAACCTTAGTCTGTTTATTTATTACAGTAAATTTAATTAAATTTTTTATTCATCTCTAAACTGTTAATTATGTATTGTTAAATAGCTATAGTTAAAAAGAACGATCAATGTTAGATATCAAATTTACTATTAAATTTAATAATTTTCTATAAATTCAATATTAATGAAAATAAATATTGTAATTTATGGTTTTTAGTTTGCAAAATACAAACGCCGTGTAAGACGACGATATGCACTTGAAGATCATGATCCTAATTCACAGGACAGCGGCTTTCTTGCTGCTCATTCAGATAATTCTAGATCAGTGTCAACATTATCTGAGAGCAATACATATACAGATGATTCAGATGATGAATTCTTAGACATTGCTGTATCCCCAACAGGATCGGTAATTATTTTACCTTTTAAAAAGTTTAACAGATTTTTTCCTAATTTTATTTTATTTTATTTCTAGTCTCCAGATTCACTTCTACTTGGATTCAGTACATTAATAGAAGAAGATATTATTAGCCAGTCATCAATTATTGTTAAAAGAAAAATTACAAAATATTCTTCAGATACTCCTCGCAAGACTGTAATTATTATAAAAAAAATGTATTATTTCAATAATCATAGATTTGATACATGTATAACTTATAGGATTTATTGTTTGGTGGTACTAAAAATAATGAAGCAGTTGTGAGAAAAAGAAAGTTGACACATGATTTAGAATCAAATCCTGAAATTAATGTATTATTAAAGAAAACTAGACCTAGTACGAAATCTAAACCGGCCGAGAGAAGTTAAGGTAAGAGGCTTTGAGCCGATTCAGTTTTATTTCTAATTACAGTAGAACCTCATTAATCCGAACCAATAAGGGCTCTAGGTTGTCTGATTTAATGAAAGTCCGGTTTAAACAAAATAACCAAACAACATGTTCGTATTATAGATTTAAGAATATTATATTATACTAATTACTATGTATGATATACAATATATATGTATTGCAACATGATATTAGTTTATGATAACTTTAATGACGATAGATAAGAATATATGTACTTATGGGAAATTCGAGGAACTTGCTATTATGTTTATTTTAGTCTACGGCATAAACTGCGTATTTTTCGTAATACTAGACAGCTATCCGGATTTAGCGAAGTCCGGATTAATTAGGTTCTACTGTTTATTAGATTTTAGTTTTAACTTGGAACGTTGAAGTCTCCCTTACAAATTTTTACTGTTCATATAGTTATTTGAACGAATTTCACTGATGGCAGCAGTGAATTTTTACCTGGGTTCATCACAGTTACGTGTTAGCGGGATTAGATTTGACTTGGTCTCTGGAAAATTTTTTATAAAAATAAAGTTAGAGTAGTTTATCTAATACAGTCCGCTGTAACTATTGTCGTTGAAAAGTGTTGGTTACAGTTTATTATAAAGACCTTATTGATATCGACAGAAAGTTAATTTCCGGCCGACTGTTACAGTCTATTGGTAGATAAAAATAGTATATTTACGTCTGACCTTGTCAAAGCGGCCGATTCCCAGGTAACCGTTATTATTATTGTTCACTCGCTGCCATATCATATACGGCAGCCCCGTACCATCTTATCGCGGGTACTTTACGACATCAATAATAGCAATAATAATAACACTTGTTTTCTACAGCAGTAGCAAATTTGACCGTACACGGAAATATTGTTTATCTCCACTATTAACGTAGCTACTTTTGATTTTTATCCGGTAACAACATATCACGCATCACGACCGTCGCGCAAAACACCGAATCTAATGGCCCTTACGAGTTACATACCCCAACGATCTTGGCACTTTTTCGGCACCGCACCCCTCTTATTAGAATGGAGGTAATGAAAATGACCGAGTAATGAAAATGACCGCGTAGAATTACTACTCCAGCAGTCGAGTTAGAATTCCAAAATGGCTTCATCACAGCTTTACACGACTCACAGGCGCATAAATCGTATGTAAAACCGGTAATTGCTTATAAATACTGTTTAAAAAGGATACACCGACGCGGTTAGACTAGCGGACGGACACACCGCCACGTTTACCGCCAAAATCGCGGATCTAAAAGTGCGATTTTCAGCGGTTATTTTAGACGACCTGTATTGCAACGTATTACTCGGCCATGATTTTCTGATTGATAAAAAAGTGGCCTGGGACTACTCAGCAGGAAAAATACACTTAGGTACTAAGAAACGTACAACCGCTTGTTGGATATCGGGCGCACGACACACGATCCGCAAACCTTTACTTAGAATAATAATCATAAAAATATGAAACGGCCCGCGTCGCTTTGTTATACACGATGCCCCGCGACTCGTGCCACCTTTATCAGCCGTCGCCCTACTATGAGTATTTGACTGACCAACACCGCGTGTTATACGCTACGGTGCAAAGTCCAGCAAATGCCGCACGGCCGACGACGACCCGCCGCAAATGGTGCGAGAGTCTTCCTCCCGTTGTGAAAGCGACAACGTCGACAACC